TACGATCCAAATAAAGTGTTAGACGCGATCGGACGGTCGAGATCAAACATAATGAACGGTCAATATTGGTTTTCTTCTTAGACGCGATCGAACAGTCAAGATTATACGCGATGAACGGCTTAGATTAACGCTAAATGGGTATAAATAGTTCGTATCACACAGAACCCGAACCATGTCCGCCAGTCTCCCGTCGAAGAAGAAGAATCAGTCACCGAAGAAGGGAGCCGACAACCGACCACCGTCGCACCGGAGCCACCTCCGATTGCAAAAGAAAGTAAAAATTTTCTAACTCACTCGGACTTCGATTCCGAGCACCCCTGTGGCCATATTGGAGCAAAATAAATAGTAAGTGAGCCAAAAACTGCGAGAAAAACCTGGCGGAACCGTCGCGGGCAAAACCCGCAACCGCCTCTGATGAGTCTCTTATCGTTTTTTATTTCGTGCGATTTTTCTACCGTTCTATTTTCTATTGGTTGACCGAAGAAAAGATTCCAGCCGCGAAAGTGAAACGACTGAGCCGCCACACCCGAAAAACCCTATCACTAGTAAATTTCTGTTTTCTGATTTTTTTCGGTCAACTGAAACTCCGTAACATATTTTTTCGCAGAGATATATAAATATGCTGGCGAAATCGACTAAAATCGGCCGAAAACAGACAGGCTGAGGTAAACCACTGACTCTACAAAAAATATTAATTTAGAGTTTTTAAAAATATATAATGTATTGAAAAAACTAATTAGTTATATAATTTGGTTACTTACTACATATGTTATTTTATAATTTCTTTAATTTTCCATGGATTCCAGCAAATATGATCCTAATTTTCTTACCTACTTGCAATTAATTTGACCCTTTTTTTTTTATTTTTTAATTGCATTAACAATAATAGTCGTGTGAATGTGACTTGACTTCTGCTATTATTATGTATTACTATTCTTTACGTTTTGAAAATAATAACACAACAATACATCTCTATCTTTCAGTAACAATATAAATATATATATTTATATATAGATATATATAATTAGGCATAAAAGATGTAATTTTATATATGTTATTAATACAATATTTTAAAATTATTTATATTATATACTGCACCAGATAAATCTTCTAATTTTCGTCAGGGTCAATAATTTGAAATGTCAAACAAAATTTTTTGCAGATAATAATTTCCTAACTCAATTAATTTATTTCACTTCAATTTTCAAATTATAAAATTAAATTATAATTTGAATTTTTATATTAAATTGAAAACTATATATACTGCACCAGACAAATCTTTCTAAATTTTGTTAGGGTCAATAATATTTCGTTTTCAATTATTTTAATAGTGTTAAAATTAATATTGACTAATTCGTAATATATTTATAAAATAATAAATTATGCCTAAAGTTTAAATTTATAATATAAAGTTTATGAATCAAATTACCTCCTTATGATTGGATGGGAGCAAATATGGGTCCCACGTTAACACTAGAATATCAAAGGTGTGTGTGTGTGTGTGTATATATATATATATATGTATACATATTGAAATATGAAGTAACATTAGGATATTAATTACATGTTTATGTGCAAAAATATTTGTTGGTACTTTCTGGGAAGTCCATTTAATTACCTGAAGTACAAATTTTCTAATTTTAATTTTAACTATTGTACATTATACAAATTATTATTGTATCAACAAAGCCATTTCTTTATTTAACATATATGTAAAAATATAATTCTCATATATATATATATATAATACACTGTCTTCCTATAAATATAATACATTTTTTTTTTTCCTAAATACAATTTTAAAACTAATTTTAATCTAATTAAATACAGTATTCGAGATTTTAAAATAATAAAAATTTTGATAATTTTAAAAATAAATTTTGTAACCTAAATGAAAATTAAAAAAGGATTTCTGGTACGAAACTTAATTTCCACAAAATATATGGGTTTGAAAAATAACGGTCGCTGTCTGCAACAGCCGCCGAACGAGAAAGAGGGGAGTGTCCACACGGGAAGCAGTAAACCAGAGACAGCGGTGATTCTCACACGTTGCCGGCCAAATCACTTACTAGAAAAATGCTCTAAACTCGTATAAATTAGTCGTTGCAATATTCAATCAAACAATTATTTCAAAAAATCAAACGAACAAAAAAGCTTCGTAGCTCTATTTGATCTTCTTTCTTTTTTCTTGAGAAAATTAATCTTCTTCTTCCAAGTATGTAAAGCTTGTCAGATTACTTAATATGGCCGCCGTTTATTAGCGTCTTAACTCGGTAACTACTAATTGATCTTAATTTTATTGATTTCGAGTTTCATTTGTTCGAGGAAATCTTTTAGTTGTTGATTTATTATTGCCTTTTTGCTTATTTGTTTTTGTCTGTTGATCTTTTGGAGTTTTAATTACTTGGTATGACTCCTTCTTTTCTGATTAAGTAGACCTCAGTAGTTAATTGAGGGGAAATGCTTTAAATGTAGTATAATCGAGGTCGATTATAGTTTTGATAGTAATTAAGCTAAACTTGAAGTGTGATCGATGTATACTGTTTTGACTAAATCTAGAAAAATTTGTGAGTGCGACTTGATCAGTTATTGAGATGCTAATAATTGAATATTGAGTTTGATTATGGCTACACTTTTGATAAGAGGGACACGGTTGTGTTTATCATAACCTAATGTTACTTTCTCTTTGTTATGTTTTATGGAAGAAACGGTATTGAGTGATGGTTACGTTAGCCTAGCAATTGTGTGTTTCTCAACTTAGACGGAGATCCAAGCTTAAGTGCTCCTCCCATGCATTATTTCCTATCTAAAAAGAGAGTTGGCTTAAAACTGGATAGTTGTAAGAAATATGAACTGTGTCCTAGTTGAATGGATGCTCTGAGTCTAACGACCTAAAAATAAATTATAAATGTTGTTTTCTTAATTTAAGTTTTAGTAAAATATTGTGAGTTTCAAGATATTCAAGTAGATTGAGAGTCTCTTTTCTCTGTTATGAGTTCATGATTGAAGAAATTATTTCATATGTAATTTGTTTTTTGTGCTAAAGAGGTAGGGACTATGTCGTGGGAAAGGAAAATAGCAGTAACTTATCGTAGACAGATATGGGGT